TTTTTCATAGGTTGTTTTATTGTCTTTAAACTGCTTTTTAAATTAACCGAAATCACCCTGCGATCAGATATTTTTTTCCTTGATCACACATAACTTTTTACATTTACCAATACATGCGTAGTTTCCAGTATTTTATAAAATACAGTGACATTCGGTTACCACACATTACACATGTAAATATGTTATTACTATTTACAAATAAATACTTAAATTTCTGTTATTTTTCTTAAAACATCGATCAGTAAATAAAAAATATTCGGAAAACAATGATCTCCACTACTTACGATCTTTTATGCACTCCTGAACCGTACTTGCTACCCTCATCTAAATTCACATGTGGATATAGAAAAAAATAACTTTTGTAGACTTTATACATGCATTTTGAAATACCAAAAAATTATAAATGACTATACCGATACCACAAAAATCTATTGTAATTTACCAGACTTCCTAACAATGCTGTATTTGGGTTTAATAAAATATAATTTCTGTTTGGAAATTAGCATGATCATAATACTTCAAACTCTCCAACGATATGAGCTTTTCTCTCGTAACTAATTTCGGAAGACTAACAAAATTACGTAAGGAAATGTAGAGCTTTGGATTGGTTATAAACTTATAGAAAAGTAGGCGTAGAAGTAGCCTTCTCAAATGATGAAGTGGTGGGCAGAGCCAGTATGGTGGATTCGCTAAATATTATGATATCTCAGCAAATATAAAAGGCAGGAGGCCCTTATTTTATATTCTAGCTTGCCAATATCGGAAATTTGCGTTTCTAATTCGTATGAAACTATAGAGTGGGTGTCATAAAATGTAATCTGACTAACCCCAGAAGATGTTTATTTGTTTGTTTTTGAATTTCGCGCAAAGCTACACGAGGGCTATCTGCGCTAGCCGTCCCTAATTTAACAGATGGCACTAGTATTATCTTGAATATGATTATTTGATTGGATGTATATGTAAATTGAATATATTTATACTTTGATCATGTCTCACTGTTAGAGATGAAACATTATACCCAAATAACTGTTTCAAAACCTTAAAAAGAAAGCAAAAAACATTGGTATTGACAAGCTGCCTTTTCTCTTAGTTACCAGTTCAAAACTAAGGATGGTTAGTGCAGCCCTTGTGTAGTTTTCATGAATATTTTAAACATTTCACCCGAAAGGACTCAGAAAGAGAATATACACCCAACAAAATGCAGTATTTCTGTGGTACTCTCAAGGTTAAGCCTATTTCTCATCTACATGATTTCTACAAGAACTTGGGGTTCAAGAACCTGAATATGTAATTAGGCAATTTAGTCTCAAGAGCAGATCATCATATAATGTAAATTATATACATATATAATTTACAGATTATATCTTAACTAGAATATCAATAATAAGTGGGATATTATTCAAGTTCACATTCTGTCAAAAAGAAGTTAGTGTTGAGATATTAAACAACTTTGTTTGATTTTCCCAAATTTCTTTAATAGTGTATTTTGCATTTCCCATGAGCTATCCTTATGATTTGTAGCCTATCCAATTATACTTGGAACTTCATTCAAATTAATCATCTTTGTTATGACTTTGTATTCTTATAATTAAACTTTATTGTTTGCACGTCCATGACACATTGACAATATAATTTTCCTGTAATTCTTTTATACTTTAAAATTGATTAGTTTCATAATAATTCAGTTGTTGTTTTTAGGGCAAAGCTAAATAATGGACTGTTTGCACTCTGTCCACTGTAGGAAATCAAACCAGTAGAATTACTGCTGACTTACTGATTACATTTAATAATTCAGTCAAAATAACTTCCGACTTCCTTCTTACTGTATCAAAAATACTATTTAAAGTAAAACTAGTTTTACATAAAAAAGACCAAAGTCTTAGGACTATTGTTTTGAAGTCTATTTCTAGCAAATGTTGCCCCTCTCCATTGTGCTATATGAATATACCATGCATTTATATCTTCTTGCTTGTTTGTTTATTTTATAGCAAAGCCACAATGGGCTATCAGCTGTGTCCACCACAGGGAATAAAACCCCGCTGCAAGTCCAGATTTACCACTGTCCCACCAGGGGACTTGTCTTTTTTGCATTATTACAGTTTAAATGTTGGAAACTAGCAAAGCACTGGAAACCAACAGGCTTAAAATTTGTGATAAAAATCACTCTGTAATATAAATTTCATTGTGATTTAATGTCCCGTATATTCCTACAAAACGGCTTTTTCTAAAGTTTCAATCAAGGTCTCAGAAAAGTGATTCTGCTCAAGTAGAAATAGACAATTAATTGTAAATACCATTATTTTACCAAAATTTTAACTGTAATGTGTGAACCTACTAATGCAGTTTTGTAAGTATTATATGTAGACAACATAGATACAGACAGGAAGTTGAAGCTGCCATCCCACATTTTCCTTTTTCGTGTTATACTGATTTTGTAGCCATTTGACAATGTTCTTAGACAAAAGTCTATTAACTATTGTAATATTTCTTGCTTGAATTAAGATTTCTTTACTGTATTTATAAAGCTTATGTTAATGATATTCATGATCATTAATAGTTATTTATGTAGCTCTGGAATTTTCCTTAATTTTCTATGATTATAATATTTCATTAATTTTGATTTCAAAGTATCTATCTTAATTTTCCATGCTGTTAAATGTTTGGGTACAACAGAAGTTCACATCTGCAAAGAAGAAGCAAGATAAAATATTTTTAAATGCTTTTATATCTTTGTACAGGGGTGTCTAGGCAATCAATTTTGAGATACTTTAACAATTTTGGTAAAAACCGATTTCTGCGATTTTGTTGTCCATAGAAATTTGGTCCTTTATTTGTTTGTTTTTTTATTCTCACCTTAATGTTTAATTCCAGATTTCAAGTCCAAATTGTTTTTTATTATACATTTCAAGTTCAAAGTATTATTATGAATGTTGCCTATAATTTAATCTGATATTTAACCCTAGAATGCCAGCATGGTTAGTTTAGTATACAGGTTTAACTTTTCTAGGGTCATAATGACTTGTACAATGACAAGTATTTGGCATGTGACCTTTAATTATAGTAAGTGGATGGTAATGCATTTGGGTTTTCATAATTTGGATCACTCACTTAATATAGAGGGGGAACTCACTCAATTGAGTTATTGAAGAAAAAATCCTAGATCTAGTGGTGGATAGTCACTCAAGCCATCAGTGCAATACTCTATTGCTTGTAATTAAGCAATAATATAATTTAGGGTGTATTTAAAGATATAGTGATTACAAATCAAAAAGAGGTAATTATTTATTTATACAAATCACTAATGTGGAACACTAAGGGCAGTTTTTGGTCTCCTTATTTAAGAAATGGTAATGAATGATTGGAAATGGAACAAAAGATGGCTACTAGGATGATTTAAGGAATGAAGGAGTTATCTTATGGGAACAGGTTAAGATCTTGTTAAGAATAGTTGATATTGTTGAAGTTTAGACAAGATTATCCAAGGGATCAATGAGATAAAAGCTTTAATTTCTTTGTGCTGTATTCTGAGGATAATAGGATGAGAAGATAAACATTTAAGACTTGCAAAAACACCACATGGTCCTTTACTGTTTCTACATTACCTTTTTGCTTCATTTTTATGTTCTTTTGTACTAATGTAACCATAACCCTTTAACTATAAAACCACTCAAAGAACTGAGCCACTTTTTTTATACCTTAGTGTCACTGTGAAATTGTTGATCAATTAAGAAATTTTACATTACCCTCATCTTGTTTTTAGCATTAAACACCTATGCAATGTACAGTTACTCCAAAAGTAACAAATGAAACCAAAGAAGCACCCAAAAGATTTTCCATGATGCCTTAAAATTTTAAATGAGCAATATTCAATGTCAAACCAAAGCTGCCTGGACTTAGCACTAAAAAATGTGCTGTGATGGGAATCCACAATTAGAGGGAGGAGAAACTGTGCCAAACCCTTTAATGTGTAAATAAATAACATTCTCAACTCTGCATCTGTACCTTTAACAGGTCTCCTCAATGGAAAGTTTTATATTAACAGTAGACTGTGCTGCAATAGGACTTCACTGATGGGAGGAGAGCCTGTGCTAAATAATTAAAAACTCCTCTAGCATGTAACTATAACCAATAATCTCACATGGTTAGACCATTTTAAGCATTTTTGAAATTATTTATTATTTTTTATGTGGGGTTCAATATAGAGCTCTTACTTTACACAATACCTCTTGAAAGTTCTAATATAAATAACGAGTAAACAAATGGTACATCACCGTTTTATCTTTTCTTACGTCACACTCACTGACTCAGTCACAGACTAATCATCAAATTAAATGTCATTGTCACACTGTATTAATAATAGTATGACATTTTAATGAAACTAACGCATTCTGACTTTAAATAACTCAAAATACTTCCACCATTAAGTCAATATACTTCAAAATTCAAGTTAATGCTCTTGATCAGCTTCAAACTAAAAGTTAAAAACAACAGACATTCAGTATGATTCAATAATTCACGTTTGGACTACAGCAGCCAAGTAAACTTAGCACTAGGCCTAAAAGTTAAATGTATTGATAATGACAGTAACTTATTAATTACAATTATTTATATATTTAGTTGGGTGTAGACCTAATGCTTACAATACCTTTAACAGTTTAAGGTGTATTGTCAACACAGACAACAGACTGTAAGTGTAACAGTTTACGTTAATACTAACACAGGATACTAGTAGTAGTAGCACTAGCATCATTCGTAAAGTCGACCTACGAAAAATTTGGTACTGGCGAAAAACTAGAATTGCTCATATATAATATATTTGTAAATGTATTACTAAAATTATTTTATCTGTTAAATGTTACCACTAAACGTATATAAATATATTTAAAAAACTGTCAGAGGTAATATTGAAATGCCGGAAATCATTCACAATTTTTTACCTTAGGACTGATGGGTTTCCTGTCACCTCCCACACGAGTTAGTAAGCAGCTTGTTGGTATCCGACTGGTAAAATGGCGGTGAGTAACAGAGCGAGGAACTTACAGACGTTGAATATTTCTTCACTGTTTAGTCGAATTCATGGTGCATTTTCAGAAGCTATGGCGTCACCAAAATTTGTAATAGATAGAAGAACTATAGAAAAAACGTGGAAGTTGATGGATAAAGTTGTTAAATTATGTCAACATCCGAAGATGAACTTAAAAAACAGCCCCCCGTTTATTTTAGACATTGTTCCTGACACATACCAACATTTACGGGTTATCTATGGAAAACATGAAGATCGAATGCATGTGTTAAATGACAATGAGTATTTCAGGATTTTTATTGAAAATTTGAATCGTAAGTGTAAACAAGCGATTAAGTTATTTAAAGAAGGGAAAGAAAGAATGTTTGATGAATCTTCTCACTATAGAAGAAATTTGACAAAGTTAAGTTTGGTTTTTAGTCACATGTTGTCAGAGTTAAAAGCAATTTATCCAAACGGAAACTTTGCAGGTGATACCTTTAGAATAACAAAAAGTGATGCTGCGGAATTTTGGAAAAACTGCTTTGGAGAAAGGCAAGTTTGGGATTTGACTTTTCATTTTTAGGGAATAGGCTTAGGATTAGTAATATATTTTTTTAAGTTACCTCAATAAAAACCATAATGACTCAATGAATTACATTATTACCTTTTACAAAAGTGTTGTGAGAGAAAATTGACTGATAGTGATACTTGAGTGTTTTTATATGAAAAAATCATGTATTGTTATTTTTCTGACTTTTACATGTTGCTGTTTTTTATAGAATGAACAGTGCACTGGTTTCTGTAATACTAATAGTAATAACATTGTTAGCAAACTATAGGATCATGTATTCTACTTTAAGCTTGTGGTAAAGTAAGTTAATAATGTTAGTTCTGGACTTTGGACAGTTGAATTAAGTGTGGTAAAGGTGAAAAAAAGGATTTGCTTAAAATAATTTTGTTATACATGTTAACCTTTTATGGGTAGTTTGATGTGTCATATGTAAAGTTTAAGAACAAGGAAAGCCATTGAACAGGGGAAGTACCTTATTGCTAATGCTTTAAATATGTGACTTTTTGTGCAGAAATTCTATTAAGAAACTGAGGAATATTTGAGTGATTCCCATTTTTCTGTTGAGTGTAATCTGAAAAAAAAAAGCATTTTTTGGAATTGTATATTTTTATAGGTTTTTCTAACTTCATTTCTTTCAAAATGCTCTGACATTCTTTTATTACCACAGTATGTGGTTCATTAATTGATAATGACATCATGTTTCTGAGTTAGAAAAAGTGTTACTTGGTTTTTAAAATCACTCTCTTCCCATTTTTGAACCAAAATAATTGTTGCCTTTCACATCAATATAGCTATACTAATCCAAGACAAATTTACAAAAAATTCAAATTATCATCATTGGGCAAACTATTCCACAAGCTTATAACTCAAAATTATAAGCATCTATTTATAGTTCAAATTTTTAACAGGTGTTATTGTAGTAACTTTATACTCTTTCCTTTGGTAAAGGCTCAAATACTGCAAATACACACACTACTACAAATGAGGCCTCATTAAAGTCATGACAAGATTATTATAATTTTTGTACTCTTAAATTCAAAATTTATAGATAAATTCTGAACTTTGTATGTCAGATAATCACTGCTAATCATTTGGTTAAAGGCTTCAAGCTTTCATCAACAGTCTCACTTAAATCCTTTTTTTTTTCTATTGCATCATTGTTCTTCTGAAACAAGAAACGAGTCCTTTTGAAAATTCTATACCCAAGTGTGTCATTTCACATTTTGCATTACTGAAATTCATTTTTCATCTTCTCATCCATTTGTAAAGACTGTCTCAGTCTACAGTATCACCTTTTTTTTTTCGAAATGTTTATGTTATTGGGAAAAATTATAAAATAGTTGGCATGTTAATCAATAAAGTCAAAAATGCCATGAGAGATACCATCACCATTAGAATTTCTGCAACGTTTGTTTAGAGCTGGGCAATTGGTGATATTTGCTAATCAATTAATCAGTGGCCTTATTAATGGATTACATTCAATTAATCAATTAGTACAGTGTTCCTCAAACCATGGTACAAGCAAAAAATAAAGTTGGCAGCAGATACTGTTAGCTAGTTACCTTCCCTCTTGGTCCTTTTGTGGGAGTCTACAGATTTACAATGCAAAAGTCAGGGGTTTGATTCCCCGTGGTGGACACAGCAGATAACCAGAAATTGCTTTGTTATGAAAACACATACACCTTCCCTCTAGTCATAGTACAACAACACCTCCACCAAAAAAAAAAAGTTTGGTGAGAGGATGCTGTTACACAGTTGCCTTCTTTCTAGTCAGAAGTTTAAGAAAAGAAGGTTTTGGTGGTACTTCCAGCTAGTTGCCTTCGCTTTAGTTAACAGTTGAACAGTTTGCAGTGGGCCAGATACTTGCTTACTTTCTAGTCAGCAGTTCAAAGAGAGAGAAAAAAGGTGATAGCAGGTGCTGCCAGCTCACTTGTCTTCCCTCTAATCAGCAGTGGCAGATACCCTAAGCGGTTTTGCCATAACAGGGTAAGTTCAGTAGCAATATTGTCATTACTTGGATAGTGTAATAATCAAAACTAGTAATAATTGGAAACATTAATTCCAGTTATTGATTATTTTTGTGCTAATTGAAATGATCAGAAGTTTGGAAACATTATTTGATGTAATCTCTGCTTATAGGTAATTGAGTAATTGAATAAATTGCCCAGCTCTACATTCTTTATTATCCTTGCTTTTTTTTTTTACATTTACATACATAAAAATTCGTCAAGTAAGAGCCTCCCATTAGCAAGCAGTTATTTAAATCTTGCCCACAGACATAATTATTTTTATCTATTTTCACCAATATATTCCAACTAACTTGTGTAGCTTGCTCAAAATTTCTTGCCCACACCTCCCATGAGAAAGAGCTTTCAAAAGCTTTTTTCAAAATTTATATTCGTGCAGCATGCTATTAATAACTCTTCGGGGTGTTATAAACATTCTTAACTCCATGTGCTCAGGAGAAATGAGATATTTTTATGTTTCAACTATTAAACTGTATTCTCTCTATGACATCCCAAACCTTAGCACTCCTGTTCTTAGTTTCTAGTTTTCATTTGTACTGTACCATATACAAACCTTTCAGTTTACTTAATTATTGAACTCCCTCCTCCCCTTCTTTAAAAATCTCATTATCTCTTCTTACCTCTCCCTATTTGTTAACCATAGATCTAAAAGTATTTGATAAAAGTTTTCGGCACCTACTAGACTTATTTTCTTATCCTTAATTTTCCTCATTTTTCTGTAGTTAAAGTGTTCATTTTTATATTTTGCCTACATTATTTGCATAACTATAATTTGTACATTAGGTATTATTTTTCTTATTTCTATACCTAAATGCTTCTTTAACACTCAAATTAATCAACTTTTCTGAAATTAACTTCAGCTTTTCCTTCAGGAAACATGTTCTACATTCAGGCTACTTATATCGTTCTTAGCTTTTTAAAATTACAGCTCATCCTAGTATTTTTAGCTGTGCCATATCGTTTCATAGAATGACTCTAATTTTTTTTTTCAAGTACAAACTTTTAGCTCATAGCTCCATCTCTTGACTGATTTGAAATCTAATTACAGCCATGGCTATTGAGGATTCCCTCTTGCTTAAAGTAATACACTCTTAACATTTATGGCACTCCACAAACCAAATCACTTAATCATTCACTATTCCAAACTATTTTCACCTAGAAAGTGAATAGACTGATACCTTACTGATAGAACAATAAACAGGAAAGTGAAGTTCCTAGAAATAGTAAAAAAAAAGGCAAAAATATTGTAATGTATATAACAAATGTTCATTCATTACAGCAAGAAATTCAACACATAATTCTTTCTGTAAAGCTAAAAAAAAGTAATCTAAATCTAAAAGTAATTGACATTAAATATGTAGATATTAGATGTATTAAATGTAGATATTGTTAAAGCATGCATGTATAACTGGTTTAAACTTTTTTCTTTTTCTATCCACTTATTCATTGTGTACTAATTAATTCTAAATACATTTGTACACTGACACTGGAGAACATTGGTTTACTAGAATAGATTCAGTCCTCAGATTATTTCAGGGATACAAGGGTTGCATTATGGGGATAGTTTAAGACATCTTATTTTCTGTTAATTAAAGAAGGGTAGGAGGTAATCTTACTGAAGTTTACAAGGTTATCCAGGGAATCAATAGAAAATGCCTCTAACTTTGTGCTGCATTGTAAACACAATGGGATCAGAAGGCTAAAATTTAAAATTTGGAAAAAGACAGGTTAGGTTCTAGTTAGGACAGTTCTATTATAATAACAGGGTGATTAGGGAATGAGTTGCATTAGTAGTAGTGGAAATCAACACCTCACTGGAGTTTGAGGGGAATTCATCAAAAATAAAAGGTGGGTTTGAAATACTTTTGACTTCTTTTTTTCTATATGGGTGGGTATTCAAGGACAACTTTGTAATGGTTTTCAAATGAGAACCAAAACTTGAGTGCTTTCAAATAGTTCACTATTCTTCTTCAGGAGAATAAAGGGTTTAATGAGTATAATAGTCTTTTTTCTATATATTATGGAATTTTTTGTAATAATATTTTATTCAGTTTATTTTCTTAGGTATTGAGGATTACCCAACTTCCTTGTTTTCTAATATTTTTTTCATAAAATTTTAAATGGACAAAAAGGAACTTATTAGCCCATCAAGGATGTCCCTTCCAGCTCCCAACTATAAACACCCCTTACTACTCGTGTATTCATCCAATCCTTTCTTGAACTCAGTTAAATTTTCTGCCTCCACCACCCTTAAAGGAAGCTCATTCCAAAAGCCAACCACCATGTTTGAAAAGTAATACTGTCTAAACTGCAGAGAACTCCTATGCTGCCAAAATTTGAATTAATGCCATCTTGTCCTATTGTTTTAACTGCTAAACACAAAAAAGTTTGGATCTATATTATCAATACCCTTAATAATCTTAAACACCTCAATCAAATCCCCT